CAGACAGGAAGAAGCAGACAGGAAGCAGACAGGAAGCAGACAGGAAGCAGCAGACAGGAAGCAGACAGGAAGCAGCAGACAGGAAGCAGCAGACAGGGAGCAGACAGAGAGCAGACAGGAAGCAGCAGGGAGCAGACAGGAAGCAGACAGGAAGCAGCAGACAGGGAGTAGACAGGAAGCAGACAGGGAGCAGACAGGAAGCAGACAGGGAGACAGGGAGCAGACAGGAAGCAGACAGGGAGCAGACAGGGAGCAGCAGACAGGAAGAAGACAGGAAGCAGCAGATAGGAAGCAGACAGGAAGCAGCAGACAGGGAGCAGACAGGAAGCAGACAGGGAGCAGACAGGAAGCAGACAGGAAGCAGCAGACAGGGAGCAGACAGGGAGCAGACAGGAAGCAGCAGACAGGGAGCAGACAGGGAGCAGACAGGGAGTAGACAGGGAGCAGACAGGAAGCAGACAGGAAGCAGCAGCAGGGAGTAGACAGGAAGCAGACAGGGAGCAGACAGGAAGCAGACAGGGAGCAGACAGGAAGCAGTAGCCAGGAAGCAGCAGCCAGGAAGCAGCAGACAGGAAGCAGCAGACAGGAAGCAGACAGAAAGCAGACAGGAAGCAGACAGGAAGCAGCAGACAGGAAGCAGACAGGAAGAATCAGACAGGAAGCAGACAGGAAGAATCAGACAGGAAGCAGCAGACAGGAAGCAGACAGGAAGCAGACAGGAAGCAGCAGACAGGAAGCAGACAGGAAGCAGCAGACAGGAAGTAGCGGACCATCTGTACCTGAATAATGGCTCCTGTCCTCCACAGCAGAGACCACTGCAGTCTGAGTCAAATCTGCTTCACTTCAGCTGCAGACAGAAACAGAGAGGACTGAAGCAGCACCAGAACTGAACCCAGACCCGGTCCAGAGGAACCCCTACAGAGATTGTTGTTGACTTGTTTTAACTGAACTAAAGCTCAGAGTCCAACACTCTGCAGCTCCTCCAGCTCCAACATCCCTCTCCAACCACAGCTCAAACTTTTCTAAAGCTCTCTGTGGACAAAAGATGAGTTCATACTCTGAACGTGTAGGCGTTTCCATGGCGACTGCTGGATGCGGCCTGACGGATGCTGATGCTGCGGCTCCATCAGTCATGTTGAAGCCGTGGGAAACAGAAGGGAGCTGACTCACCGTGCAGTTTGTGACTCACGCTTCTGTTGTTTTAAAACTCGTGACTTTGAAGCGTTCGCCTCAAACAGCAAACAGGGTTAATGATGTACGGAAGAGCTTATGATAAAAATATTAATAAGAATTAAGACTTTTTTTATTTCTGACATTAATCTGCTCTTTAAGAGAATGTTTAAAATGGTTTGTTGAAGAAATATGAAACAGAATAATGTGTACTCATTCAAATTTTTGTTTGGGGATTATTGTTGTTTTTGTCACTTAAAGACTTAAAGTTTATTTTATCTTCTTAAAAGGAGGCCGATATAAGATTTTTTCTTATTTTTCTGCTGCTTTTCATTTTATTTTTGATTTGTATTTTTTGTATGTAAAACTTGTTGTTTTTAAATGAAATAAAATGAATAAACTTAAAAAGAAATCTGCCATCATCTGCTGATGACCTGCTGATGACCTGCTGATGACCTGCTGGTGACCTGC